ATCTGACACCTTTAGATTTCTTTTTATGGGGTTATTTAAAATCCAAGGTATATGAAATTCCGTTGGGTAGTATTGAGGATTTAAAACAAAAAATTATTGACGTCTGCCAAAATATTGATCACATGTTAAGCCGTGTGAGAGAGGAAACACTACAAAGATGGTACCACTGCCTAGAAGTTCAAGGTAATCATATCGAACAATTTACTTAATATTTGATTCTTAATAAATAAAAAATTCTTTTATTATTCAATAACAACACTAAGCAAATTTTTCAACCGTTACCTATACTAGCAAAATCTTTAATAAGAAAATTTCATTTCTTATATTGACTTTTTTTCTTTATAAATATTTTTTGATAAAATATGATTAATTCATAAATTTAATATACTTCCAAACAACTTTTATTTCATTTCTAAAAAAAATAAGTAATTGAACTTGCAATTTTGTATCCGTCTTAGCTCGAGCGTATACCGACCGTTAACCTACCGTCCACCATTTACCTGGCCGATTGCATTTCGACAGGTAGTCGACGAAGATACGTTGGTTTTTCCGGCAAAATTCCGCATTTTGTTTAATTTTTATGCGAAAAACTAATAAACCGATATTTGATTGTGAGGTACCGTTGGATTCGTATTGTTTTCATCTTTCGGAAGATACCATAATATACTGGGTGTTCCATTTAAAAAAACAAAGTTGATCTATTTTCCGGAAAAACTAAAAGTGATGGCAAAATTTTCCATAAGAAAATATTTGTGCTGATAAAATATAGAAACTGACGTTTTTTTGTTCATAGTGATATCTCAATTTGTTCGGAAGTTAAACAGGGGGGGGGTTACTTTACGCTAGCACTGTATGTATACCTAGATTATGGAGAAAAATAAAGGTAGTCTTTACACCCAAAGGTGGAAGGCATTTAAACGCCGATCCCAAGAAACAGATGTCCAATACCTAGGGGTAATACTAGACAGTAAATTAAACATGTCTTAATATAACGGGTACAATGAGATCTTGAACCTGAGAACCACAATTTCAATTGTACATACAAAAAGAGACAGCTTTGAGTGCTTTGTCACTAAAGACATCTTCTTCAGCTAAGCTGATGGAGGACATCTCGAAATCCTCAGGGAACCATGCCTAAATCACTTGATTCAAATTAAAACGAATCTTATACCGACAGAATATAGTTTCGACCAGCCATATAAGATCATGTTTAGTAGTAACGGACCAAAAAATCGGATTAAGATACCCTTAAGCTCGGATACAACCATTTTTCAGGATGAAGTTCTTGCCATAAACTTTTGCACCGTTTTAAACCCTGAGAAGAAACAGAAAGGGGCATCGGTAAAGATCTTTACGGACAATCGGGCCGCTCTAGCGGCGATTCAGACCTACACCTATGAATCCACACTGGTCAAAAAATTTACCAACAACCTGAGAGCTCGCTAGAGGTAATGAAGTTAGGTAATGGTAAGTAATGAAGTGAGTTCCAGGTCATANAAGTCGACTTCTAATACGTGTTTACACGACAAAAACTTCTGGAAGTCGCTTCTGGAAGCAACTTCCGCAAGAAAACTTGGTAGTGGACACACGGCTTTATACCGACAGAATATAGTTTCGACCAGCCATATAAGATCATGTTTAGTAGTAACGGACCAAAAAACCGCATTAAGATGCCCTTAAGCTCGGATAAAACCATTTTTCAGGCTGAAGTTCTTGCCATAATCTTTTGCGCCATTTTGAACCTTGAGAAGAAACAGAAAGGAGCATGGGTAAATATCTTTAAGGACAATCGGGCCGCCCTAACGACGATTCAGACCTACATCTGTGAATCCACACTGGTCAAAAAATTTACCAACAACCTGAAAGCTCGCGGGGGGTAATGAAG